CATAAACAAATCCAGCATAGAAAAGCAAACTCCTGGGCAGCAGCCATACAAGGAAGGGGAATTGCCATGTCTGTGGCCACAGAGGTGGCAGGGGCAGTGTCATTTTCAGACACTGTGCCTGGCTCCCTGCTCCTCAGCCCTCCACTGCCCACAGCTGGAGCTGCTTAGTTTCAATGTGCTCATTCAGTCTCAGCCAGGTGCTAGCCTAGGCCAATCCCATTCCCTAGTCAGGAGAACTTAGGGGACGTGAGGCCAGTGACACAGTGGCTGAGAATCTTGTCAAATCTCCAACTGACCACGTGTTCAGCCTTTAGGACTAGAACCAACTACATTTTGTTTCGTTCTTTGTGACAAACTGAACCATCTTGTATCCTGCTTACTGTAACTGGCACCTGTCTTGTTCTTTGTACCTCACTGTGCGGAGCCCCGTTTCCTCAAATGTCAGGTGGCAGGGCTGTTTTGAGTAATAAATAAGATGACCTGTGAGGCACCTGACATGGGGAGGATGCATAATTTGTGATGGTGTACATTTTGTTGCATGGGTCTTGTTGGCGCCTGGAGTTCTGTCTCTGAACACGAAGCATGATTGTTTTGGTATGGAGGTCATTTGGGAGACTGCAGCGTAAGACTGTGTGTTTTATTGACCAATGTTCATGTGTGCTCCATGCATCCCTGACTTTCACCCCATCCCTGACCTTTGTCCCTTCTCTGAGTCTCATTCAGTATCAGACCAGCACCTCATCCCTTACCTTCACCCCATTCCTGACAGGGCATGTCATAATCAGTTTCTTTGAGTTCCTTTGAGGGTTTGGGACTCAGAGATCTCCTCAGGGGCAGAGAAAGGCAATAAGCCACTGAACTAGAGTGTAGAGGCTTGAGTCTACCCCAGATTTTCCTGTGTCTCCTCTTCCTCAGCTTTGGCTCAGCTGCTTGGAAAGTTGCCTTGGGAGAGGTCCATCAGAGACCAAAGGACACTGGTGCTCTTCCTGTCAGTTCCTCTTCCCAGGGCTGGAAGGGAAACCTTGCCAGGAGCCGGTGATTTTTGGACAGGGTGCAGAGCCCAGTCAAGTGAAGACTCATGCCCAGCTGTGTGACTGAGGCCTGCCCACAGGCCACTTGAGGAATGTGTCCAAGAAATGTAGGAACCAAATGCAAATGCCGCCTGCCACTCTGCCCAGCTGAAGAAAGTCAAGAAAAGCCCATCTTGAGAGAAACTGTACAGTCCCAATCTCCATATAAATAAAAAGAAATAATGCCTAAATTAAAGCCTTAGCTTGAAGCACTGAAAGAGAAGGAATCAGAGGGCAAACATTTGAAAAATTAGTTCTGAATTCATCATGGTCCAAGATCTTTATCAGCATGTAATTTAAAAAGAAAAATAAAACAATGTGCCAACCTCACAGTGGATGTTGATTACAAGATGCATAGTTAGTTAAACGCGTTAGCAAAGTCTAAAGAGATTAGACAGCGAATCCAAGCGCCATTGCACAGACCCCCTGCCCAGGCCCAGGACAAAGATGCACAGTCACCATTTCTCCAGTTGCTACAGGGGCTGGAGGAAAGCACGGTGGGCTTTCTAAGCAACTGTCCTGTGTGGGGCAGAGAAAAGGGGTAGATGCCCTCTCAGAAGTGAAAATGAAAAGGATGTTCTAAGGGGGAAGATTATTTATCATGTACTCTGCATATGATAAAGTGGAATTAGCAAGAGAATTGACTTCTATTGGCAGCCTATTTCTGGACAAACTACTTTGGCCCATAGTAGGGAAAAATTTAAAAACCACCCTTAAAATTAATACTTATTTGAAACAAAGAGATAAAGGATTTGGAAAAATACTTTCCAAGGGTGCCAGGTGTGAGTGGGCGTGAGGCAAAGAGGAGAGTGAACAAGGGGGAAACCCCAGGTATGGGGAGCAGGAAGGCCCTGCTGTCCTCTGGCTTTCTCCTAACACCCTCCTTGACCCTCCCTCCCCTTTCCTTCCCATCCGCCTTCTTCTCTCTCCCCCAACTACTTCCTAGCTACTGGGAGCTTCCTCAGTCCTGGTTTATGTTTCAACCAGATGAAGGCCTTGTTCCATCAGAACTGAGCAGTTTATCTGAAAAGAAATTCACATAAAGCTGGTAGAGGCTGATACTGGTAGTCTCTTAGGTAACATCTGTATTTTAACAGGGAGTCCTTTTGGGCTTTATCAGAAAACAGTGAAGAAGACTTTATTTCCCAAGTGTCACAAGCCATTCACATGGTAAGTATCTTTGAATGGAGGAAAAGGACGGGCAAGTTCCAGAATTCTCCTAAGTCCCTGCAGGTGGACAGCTGCCCGCTCTGTCTATACATCCAACCTCATCTGAGATGCGGCCAGGCACCTCTGCCACATTTGCTTCCCTTGACATTGTTGTCTTCTTGTGACACTTTCCTGCGGACTGTAACTCCATGATGACAAAGACTGTCTCTGTCTTAAACAGAAGAGAGAACATTTACTGAACACTTACTATCTTGTCAGTTTTCTAAGCCCTTTAAGTTTATTAACTGATTTAGTTTTTAGAACCATCAGAGGTAGGGAATTCTATGCCCATTCTAAAGATGAGGCGTGAGTTGTTGAATATTATGTGTAAGGTCACAGGGCAGGTAAATGGCAAAGTTAGGATTCAAACCCAGCTGTCTGACTCCCAGGCTCACGTGGTAAACCACGACACAGGTTGTCTTCCTGGCACCTAGTACAGTGTGTGGGAAGCAGTCACTACTTCTGGTTTTCCTTTTATATCTCTGTGATGGTTAATTTTATGGGTCAACTTGGCTGGGCCATGGTTCCCAGATATTTGGTCAAACATTATTATGGATCTCTCTGTGAGGGTGTTTCTGGATGAGATTTCCATTTAAATCAATGGACTTTGAGTAGAGCACATTGCTATTGATAATGTTGAGGGGTAGGGCAGGAGACTTATCCAATCAGATGAAGTCTTGGATGGAACAAAATGCTGATCTTCCCTGAGCAAGAGGGAATTCTCCAGCAGACTGCTTTCAGACTTCACCTGCAATGTCTGCTGTTCCTGATTTTCCAGCAGACTGCCTTTGGACTTGAACTGCAACTCTTTCCTGTGTCTCTATGCTGCCAGCCTCCCCAATCAGATTTTGAGCTCACCAAGCCTCCACAATCGTGTAAGCCAATTCCTTAAAATAAAACTTCCTTAAAATAAAAACGAATTCCTTAATATATAAAAAAAGTATATATACACATCCTATTGGTTCTGTTTTTCTTGAGAATTGTGACTTATACAGTCTCCTTTTCTAATAAGTTCCTCAAGATTAGTTCCTAGGCCTTCTTTTCTTCTCAGCCTAAGTTTTGTCTATTTTCTAAGCAATTTTTTCCTGCCCATGGCCTTCGTTGCTACCCATATGCCAATAACTCTAAATGTATACTTCTAGCTCAGATGTATCTACGGAGGTCCAGACTCATATGCACCTACGTACTTGGCATGTGTCCTTGGATAGCTGAGGGGCACCTGAATGCAGCAGGTACAAAGGTAAATTCAGGACCTTACAATCCTGATCCTCTTTCAGCATTCCCTATCTCTATGAAATGTACCCATATCTATCTGAGAGACCAGGAGCCATTCATAGCAGCTCTCTCCCTTATTTCCGTGCTTAACCCATCACCATGTCCTGCCAATGTCACTTCAGAAATTTCTCATATCTTTTTACTTCTCTCTATCTCCACTACCACCACCTTACCCAACCTATGGGTATATCTTATCTTGACTCCTATGGTAACTTTTCAAGTGGTCTACACGCATATTCTTTGTTTCCCCTCTAATCATTTTTCTTCACACTTCAGCCACAGTGATCTTTCTAAAAAATAAAGCCAATCATATCATTTTGTGCCACTCCCTGTGTGAAACCAGTCACTGACTTTCTATTGTGCTTAGGATGAAGGCTAAATTCTTGGCATGATGACATGGTGGTTCCCAAGGCTCTGCATGACTCTGCATGTCTGCAGCAGTGTTCTCCTTGTTCTCTACACTCCAGCTGCTCTTACCTTTTTCCAGTTCCTCAAAAATGCTTCCTCACAGTACTGGTCCTTTGCACATCCTGTTTCTATTTTTTAAAATGCGGGGCACATTTCGAACCTCTCAACTCTCATATCAGGAGTGACTTTGAAGGTAAAGATGTTGTATTCCACACACCCCTCCCTCAGTCTACTCAGATTCTTTTGTTATACAATCTCATAGTATTTATCTAAATTAAGGCAAATAATAATGGCTAAGATTTATTGAGTGCTTATTAAGTTCAAGTCAAGCACAGTGCTAAATACTTTATAATCATTATATTTAAATATTATCTAATTGAAAAATACAGGGGCCAGCCCAGTGGTGCAGCAGTTAAATTCACACATTCCACTTCGGTGGACCGGGGTTCGCTGGTTCGGATCCCGGGTGTGGACATGGCACTGCTTGGCACGCCATGCTGTGGTAGGCGTCCCACGTATAAAGTAGAGGAAGATGGGCATGGAAGTTAGCTATGGGCCAGTTCTCCTTGGCATAAAGAGGAGGATTGGCAGCAGATGTTAGCTCAGGGCTAATCTTCCTCAAAAAAACCCAAAAACTCTGAGAAGTAGGTCTTATTATTATTTTATTTTAAGACAAGGAACCTGAGAACCTGGGTGGGAAGCTAAGTGCATATTCAGTGATGTGATGACTTGGTGGATATTTGGCTCTCCCATTGGACTGTGTACTTGGAGTGAGCTGGGCTCATGCCTGTTATTGATCAGCACAGTTAGAGGACTGCCTGTCATGTAGAATGTGTTCAATACCTACTTGTTGATTGAAATAATGATGAATATTTGCATAAGTAATGAACTAGGACATATTTTAATATGGAAACTAACTGGGTATTCCTTTCATTCTCCACCCTAGATTAGTTGCCTATGAGATTATTTACAAAATTTTAGACAGTTGCTTGCAAATGAGAAAATAGCATTCCCAATACTAGAGATGTTTTACAGTACCCTCCACTCTTCATTTTGATGACCATCTGCTCCGTTTCCAAATGAGGCAGCAATTTAGTTTAATTTTGCTCACAGTGAAGGATGATTTTTTTTTGTCCCAGTCCTTCCAGGGCTTCTAAAATAGAGTCACACATGTACAGACACACTTAAAAACGTGTGTATGCTGCAGTAAGTCCACACTAGCAGCTGTAACAAATAAACCCTAAATTCCCAGCTTAACACAATAGATGGCTATTTCTTATTTGTGTAACAACCTAATGGGGATGTTCCTGCTCGGCCAGACAGCTTTCCACATGGGGAGATCCAGGAACCTGGGCTCCATCCATGGTGCCCACATGCCTGGAGGCCTCAGAGTTCTCTGACGTGGCTGACAGCAGGGGAGAACCAGCATGAAGAAGGCACACCAACTTCCTCGAAATCTTGACCCAAAATGAAGCACGTCACTTCCACTCATATTCCATAGCTAGAAGCTCATCATGTGGTCACACCCAACTCTAAGGAAGGCAAGGAATACTGTCTAGTTATACACGCAGGAAGAAAAGAGAGAAAACATATTTGAGCATATCTCTGCCTCACCTCCCATCCCTATAATACAAAGCAGAGAGATGCTATAAGATTAGTACAAAGTGCCCTGGGGTATGGGCAGATGTAGCTTAATTCTAATGGTGGGCATCTGGAAAGGCTTGTGGAGGAGGGGATTTTGAGTGGGTCTTGAAGGATAGGTAAGTCTTTGATAGAAAGCGGTCCTAACAAGCATAACTGAGACCGATGCCAAAATGGTGAGGTCCGAAGCCAGGAGGGAGTGAGGATGTGAGAGAAAATGTATGCTTGTGCCTTGGTCTATGTGCACATATCTCAGAGTCAAGTAGAAATTATTTTAATAATATCTTTTTTCTGGTTTTCCTGAACCCCTTCTATAAGTAATTAAATAACAAACAGAATTACCCCCTGTACTATGAGTATGTTAGTGCCTAATGTGAAGATATGAAATAATTAGAGGATGTGCTGTGTAAGAATTTTAATGTCATGGAAAACTTCTATTTTCAAGACTGTGTTAATTATACAGGATAAGGCTGAACAAAGGGAAGATGTACAATTAGCAGAGCACAGCTTATTATAACCAGCTCTGTTTAGAGGCTCTTCTGAACCTAGATATGTAATAAATCAAGAGTGACCTAGTGTTTTAGAGGACAACTCTGGAGATTTTAGAAATGCAGAACCAGGCCATTTTGGATTTGATTGTAGTGATGGTATAGGGAGATGTTTACACTCTAGTCTAAATGGTAGAGAGGAAAGAGCAGCGTCTTTACAGGGAGAAGACCTCTGTCCCTTCCTTAGTCTGCCACTCAATGGCTGGATGATCATACCTCTGTGGGCTCCTTCCTCCGCTATATGGGGATATTAACACATATGGAAGCACCTAACACTAGGCCTGGGCTATATTAAGGACCCAGTTTTTATTTTTAGCTCCATTTTCCTTCCCTTCTCCTACTTTCTTTTTCTTAGGCAGGATTTCATTCACTTCAATAAAAATCCTTAAGACTTTAAGAGCTATACAAGAATGACTGTAATATCACAAGGATGTACTTCCTCTAAGTCCACCAAACTTCAATAAAGGCAGTTATAATATCAGTGGCTCTATCTGAGCAGTGTCAAGGAAAAAGAAATACCTTAGCTGTCAAATCCCCGGAGGGCTGACTCAGCTCTTCTTTTCTTCCAAAGAAGATAAACTGCATCTCATGCAATTTGCTTCTTGCTAGGGGTTCTTGTTTTGGTTTCAAGCAAGGTCTTCAGTGCAAAAGACAATCTCTCCTACACAGACGTTAAAGGGGCTATGAGTCCCATAAAAGTTTGGACTTTTCCCTAGATTTTGTTGCCAGAATTTTAGAAATTGATATGAGAAGCTGAGAGCTTAAAAACTGCACAATATTCACATATTATTCGATTGCAAAATGCTGTGAGCTGCCCATCCCAAGCCTCAGCTCAGCTGTGATTGGCCCATACACCCAAGCGCATCTCAGTATTGACTGAAAGGATAGAGTACTTCAGCCCCTGAGAAAGCATTAGGATTGCATTATCATATCAATAGCCCACATGTAAAGTTCTTGATAAAAATGATCATAATCCAGAGGCAAGAGATAAAATATGAGAGTTTGATTTGTGTAAACAAATCAAAGGCATTTAGAGTCAAGCTACTTAATCTATTTTAAAGCATTGCCAGGAATATAAACATCAGAACAGCCTCAGAGCTGGAATAGGCAAGAGTTGAGAGAGTTGAAGGAATTCTAAAGATTATTTGCTGCTTCTTCTTGATTCACTATAATCCAGCCATGTTGGCCTTCTTTCAGTTCCGTGAACAAGCCAAGCTCAAAGCCTCTTCTCTTAAAGCCTCTATAAATCATCCTTCTGTGTCTTCAGAGATGCATCTTGTAATAGTCAGGATTGTCTCAGGTAAGCCGCATTAACAAATAGCTTCCATATCTCAGTGGCTTCAGACAATAAAAGTTGTCTGCTCATGCTACATGTCCAGGGTGTGTTGGCTGAGGGGGCTCTGTTCTCTGAAATCACACAAGTTCTGGGCTAAGGGAGCAACCATGTCCTGAACCACATCACCTGTCAGAACGCCCCAGGGAAAGGGAGCTGGAGGAAACTACAATTAGATGCTCCAGCATGGAAGTGACACATGTCGTTTCTACACACAACCCATTGGCCAGACCAAATCCCATAGCCCATGGAACCTCAGGGAGACCAAGGCAATGCAGTCCTGCCATATGGCTGGAAAAGGAAGGGAATGGGAAGAGCTTTCTTGACTCTTAGACCTCCCCTGACCACCCTTTAAGATGCAGATTCTAGCTCTTCATTGCCTTAGCACCCATTTTGTTTTTTCATAGGGCTTATCACAATTTGAAATGGTATTATTTATTTATTTCCTGTTTTGTTCTTAGTCTGTTTCCATCATTGAACTACAAGATCCCTAAGAGAAAGGACCATGTGAGCAGGCTAATTCCTCGAAACGGTTCTCAAAATGGTCACTCTTCCTAATATGTTTAAATATTGGATAGATTTGTCTTGAATTTGGAGAATCCTCATGGTGATAATGTTATGTCTCTTGGTCTAAGTCGTTTTTGGCTGTGTGTTGACACCTCTCCATCCCTCCTTATCAGAGGATCCACTCTCTACACAATGGCAGGGCTAAAGCAAAGACAAACTGGGCACGACTTCAAATGCTGTCATGAAGCAAATTGGAAAACTATCAACTACACCCAAAAGAAATCTCCAGAGGCAAGGAAAACCAACGTATCCAGTGAAAATTGCCATAAACTTTGTAAATAATGAAGAGAAGAAAGGAATTTGGTGAATTGGCATTTTGTTGAATTTACTTTTGGCAAATTAGCCTGCTTGGAATTAACTCAGGGCCACCCCCTCAGCCGCCGCTCAGAGCTGTGCTTCAGCACCGCACTGAGCCTGCTGTTTAGAAGCCACTCTGAGATAACTGTCCATTTCATGGGCAAAGAAACTGTAGTTTAGAGAGATTAAATTATTGGCCCAAATCACAGAAGTGATGGCGGGAAAGAGAAAAGTATGAATCAAGACTCCTCTGGTCAGGATGGTGCTTTGTTCCCTGAGTCACACTCCAGCCAGGATGCAAACATTTTTATAAACTTAGTATGCTATTTAGGGCAAAAAGGCAATGTTTAAAGAAATATTCTAAGGATTTGTCTCACTTTTTATCACTTTAAATAAAAACATTTTAATGATTATTTATTTTAGACACTTTTTATAACTATACCATCATTTTCTATATAAAATACTATTATTTTCTTTCTTTTTTGTTTTTTTTTAAAGATTGGCACCTGGGCTAACAAACAACTGTTGCCAATCTTCCTTTTTTTTTTTAAAGATTGGCACCTGGGCTAACAACTGTTGCCAATCTTTTTTTTTTTTCTGCTTTATCTCCCCAAACCCCCCCTGTACATAGTTGTATATCTTAGCTGCAGGTCCCTCTAGTTGTGGGATGTGTGACGAGGCCTCAAAGTGGCCTGACCAGCGTTGCCATGTCCGTACCCAGGATCCGAACCCTGGGCCACTGCAGCGGAGCACGCGAACTCAACCACTCGGCCATGGAGCCGGCCCCAAAATACTATTATTTTCAAGTGAAATAAGAAATAATTGACGTACAATGGCCTATGGGACAAGGTTATTTCAGCAAAGAAATTTCAAGAATCAATTAGCTATGGCCTTGGAGAAATGGATTTTTAAATAGGCATTGTCTCAGCTCACCTAAGGCATATCTTTAGTTCCCTAATATTTCATCTTAAAAGAGGCCACCACTAAAATCAAAGGTTTCACAGAAAATTGTAAATATGAATTTTTAAAAAAAGGACAATCTTTTGGGGGCTGGCCCAGTGGCGCATGGTTAAGTTCACACGTTCCACTTCGAGTGACCAGGGTTCACCGGTTCGGATCCCAGGTGCGGACACATGCCCCACTTAGCAAGCTATTCTGTGGCAGGCGTCCCACATAAAATAGAGGAAGATGGGCATGGATGTTAGCTCAGGGCCAGTTTAATCAGGAAAAAGAGGAGGATTGGCAGCAGATGTTAGCTCAGGGCTAATCTTCCTCAAAATAAATAAATAAATAAATAATTTTAAAAATCTGTTTAAAAAGAAGGACGCTGTTTTTCAGCTATCATTTTTTCTTTTCTCCTGTATCATTCAGCAACAAGGCTTTCCTGGAAAGGATATTTTACAGACTATAGCAGGTAAACACTAATAAAAGAAAAAAAACCTAAACTATTCTCTCTAGCCTATTAGTCCTTGGACATTGGTTTCTGATTGTGTAGGATTGTGGCTATTTTTCCACAGGGCTGGGCTGCGTAACTCAGCAGTGTGTTCTCCTACCTGTGGGACCAAGCTTTCTGTGTTCGCCTCCTTCGTAATACAGTTGCAGGGCACAAAGCATGGGCTCAATCTGTCCGATGAGGAGATTTGTGGTGGCTCATGTCGGGAGAAACTGCTGCTTAGCAAACTACAGGATCCTACATAGATAACAACAGAGAGACAAGTTTAGAAACAATGGAAATCCATCAGGTTCTGAGAAATGAAGACAGCATTCTGGTCCTTCAGAAAAAAAGACTTGTATTTAATCTCTAAGTACAATACATAGAATGGCATGTGGGTCAGCACCGAATAGAGGTTGATCGAATGAAAAAGAGAGTGAATAAATGAACAACTGAAAGTCAGAGCTGGTCCTAGTATTGTGAACCCACAAGCCTACAAGACCAGGCAAGTCAGGTAAATGAGGGAGCAGACTGGTATGAGACATCCGGGAAGGGGAGAGCCTGTGTCCTTTCTGAAGGGGGCAGCCACTGCTCAGGTCCAGCTCATGGTTTTCATCGATGCTGTAAGGAAAAATGGACTCAATTATACACAACTTCAAGTTTTCAAGGGAAGACAGAAAGACAGATTTTTACATGAAATCTCTTGAATTTATATTTTAGAATTCAATTAAACAAAACAAAACTTTGTGCAGGCCAAACAAAGCTAAAGGCAAAGTCTATCTGAGGGTGAGGATTAGCTCCTGGGTGGCCATGAGATCTAGGATCTGGTGCAACATCGTCAATTTCCAAATGACGAAAAAGGATCCAGACGGCTGAAGCTGCGCGGGCAAAGACACTCAGCTGAGGCAGAGCTGGGCCTTCTAGGCGTGAGGATCTTCCCTTTCACTTATGACCTTTCACTTTCTCTTGTGGCCACTCTAAGACTGGCTGAACCTCATCAGACCTGTTTCAATAACAGATTGGAAGCCAACCAGAAGCCGCCTTTGGTTGATTTGATCCTTGGGTCTCAAGCTGTATTTATATAAAACTTCATGAAAGCTATAATTTTGTTTTCTCACCATTCATATTATGGAAGAAGATCTGGGTAAAGCTCAGTGACTGAAATACGATGGTCCCTCATATGAAATAATATTCTGATTACAGGCATTCGTTTGGGATGGTGTTAGGCAATGTGGCCACATGTGAAGAATGGCAGCGAGGGGTAAGGGCAGAGGCAGGTATGGGCGGGGGCATGAGTGGGTCCCACTGGATCCATCTGCTGGTTCGAGTTTCTGCTAAAAGGCTGCTCTTGTTTACGTGAGAGGCGGTGTTGTGTGATGATGAAGTGCATGTTGTTATTGTTAGTGAGTCGATTCCATGGGAGACCTTGCTGGTATTTGAAATAGTGGTGGCATAGCTTTCAGCATCACAGCAACAGGCAGCCACCACAGTATGAGAACCAACAGAAGGGTAGGGAGGTTCCCTGACTGGGAAAGGAACCCGGGCCATGGTGGCGAGAGTGCCAAATCTTAACCACTAGACCACCAGGGCTGGCCTAAGTGCATGAGATGGGTCTAAATACTGGCTCAGCCACTTACTGTGACTTAAACTTGCTCCGTCTCATGTATAAAATAGTGATAATAACAGTACCTGAATCATAGAGTTGTAGTGAAGTTTAAATGAATCAATATATGAAGTGCTTAGCATGGTATGTGCACAAGGTAGGCACTCAGTAAATGTTTGCTAGTATTTGTAACAAATACCAGCATTTATTGAATGCCTACTATACACTAATTACTTGCACTTATTATTTGTAATCATCACTGCAATCCTCTGCAATAATAATAATATTATTAACTTCACTTTATTGATGAGAAAACCATGACCTTGGGAGATCAAGCCTCTTATCTAATGTCACCCTGGTATACAGTGGAGCCAAGCGTTTGAACATAGGCCTACTCAGCCGAGATATTAGCTTAACCCACCTCTCCTGTGCCTTGTCAGTGTTCAATGGAAGATACGATTCAGATCTTTAAAGGGAGAGAAAATCAACTTTGGTTAAACGCCGAATACTTATCAAGTCAAATAGGAAAGCAAAGGAGTTCTGGAACAATCAAAAGCACTCCAACACTTGGTAACCTTCTGCCTTATGTCAAAATGTGTTGTTCTGGAATGGGAGGGTGCCACAGGACTAAGAGTAAGACAGCAGAGCGTGTGGGCAATTTTCAGTCTTTATCAATCCTTGTTCTTAGCTTCTTCTTTTTTAAAGATTTTTGTTTTTTTCCTTTTTCTCCCCAAAGCCCCCCCGGTACATAGCTGTATATTCTTTGTTGTCGGTCCTTCTAGTTGTGGTATGTGGGACACCGCCTCAGCGTGGTTTGATGAGCAGTGCCACGTCCGTGCCCAGGATTCGAACCAACGAAACACAGGGCTGCCTGCAGCGGAGCACGCAAACTTAACCACTCGGCCACGGGGCAAGCCCCCGTTCTTAGCTTTTAAAATGCTATGGCTTTTAATAGATTATTTGCTTAATATTGATAAATCTATTTCCATGGAGGTAGCGTTTAGGAACCAAAATGCATATTGAATGTTAACGGGAAAATAACACCTGGAAGGTTTTACTCTAGCATATTTTTTATAAAAGTCCTCACTTTTATAGAATTTTCTATACAAAGAAAGAGTGGAATAAAACATAAGCATTTATTAAAGTGTATAAAGTATTAATACAAAGCATTTTATATAAAACATTATTGAGTGAAGAAAAGGAAAGAATGAAGGAAATGAGCAGTTCCTGACTGCTAACATAAGCCAGATGCTATGCCAGGTACTCTTATATACCTCCTAGCATTTAGTGAATGAAAAGTCTCCACACCAGGACCAAAATACATATGGAAAATGTATGTATAGAAAAGTCAATTTTCTGTGGGAAGATATTTCAGTTGAAATCTCAAATCTTACTTAGACATTACACTCCTTACTTACCTTGACTGCCCATTCTGTTTACCTTTTTTTTTTGGCTGAGGAAGATTTGCCCTGAGCTAATATCTGCTGCTAATCATCCACTTTTTTTGCTTGTGGAAGATTGCCCCTAAGCTAGCATCTGTGCTAATCTTCTTCTATTTTATATGTGGGTCACCACCACAGTGTGGCTGATGAGTGGTGTAGGTCTGCGCCTGGGATCCAAGCCCATGAATCTGGGCTGCCGAAGTGGAGTACGTGAACTTAACTACTATGCCACAGGGCTGGCCCCCTGTTTAATTTTTTTGACAGAAAGTATTTTTCTAATTAACTTTAGCCAAACAAGGGCAAAGAAGGAGAGTGTCCTTTCAACCAAAATCAGTTCTGGGAAAGTATAAAGTAGGAAACACAGAGATGCAAATTTTCTCTGCTTTAGGAGGAACTTAATATTATGCTAAGAGATAATGATATCCATTCTCAGTAATAATATAGAAAACAGGAATGTATTATACAAGATAAAAAATATAAGCCACTTTCTTCAGTCTGATTTTTAAAATGTAATTTCAGTATTTAAGTTAGAGGTATTTCAACTTCCCAGAATAAGTGCACCCATATTCAAATGTTGGTTTTAGAATACAAAACAATATTTCAAAGTCAAGTAGAAATGAATTTGTTCACTACTCTTTGAATAATTGCCATTACTGCTATTTCTCCTTGAGCAGATACTTGAAAACTGACTATATAAATTGCTGTGTTTTTCTGGGAAAATAATCTAGACTCAAAATTTGTCACCCACATTTTAATCTAAGTTACAGTTTTATCAGCTACTCTAGTACATTATTCTATTACATCTCATTAATATCTTCCCTGCTTTTTAGCTCCATGTAGCAGAAAGGAATTTTGCCAGTGCCATTTATGTCTACGGAATCCACTTGTTTGTTGTGCCTCCACACCAGAGTTAGCTATGAAGTGTTTTAGGGACAGAATAAGACAAATAAGATAGCTATAATATTTGGATATTGGATTTCGTCTCCTCAGGTTTGCCCTCTTTGTGGCAACAAAAGAATTCGCCTTGTGAATCTCTCATGTCAGCATCCGGCCACATTTGATCCTGGTTTGTGTGTGGTCTGTCTGCAGCCAATGACTTGAATAAAAACCAACAGAACAAAACAGAAAGCTCTGCTGAGCTGCTTATTTATTCACTTATCAAGATAAATTCTGATTCATTAGGAAATCAGGTAGAGGTAACAGTTGATCTAATTAGTTAATGAATTTAGGCGAGAGAACAGGGAGTTTTCACTCTGTAAGTTTCGATGATAATGAACTCCACTTTCCATCTCTCTTTGTCATAGGTCGGGTCCCTGGGAGACAGATTTGAGACCCTGAGATACCCATGCAGGAAGTTTATCAGAGCATGTTCTCAGGAGCAACACTGTTCTGAGATGAGAGAAGGGAGAGGTTGAATGAGCCAAGCCTCTAGGGAGCTCTGGAGCTGGGATGGGCCTGCAGAGGTCCAGTGTGTGCTACAGCCAGCTTGCCTGGGCTTGGGCAGAGCTGACAGTGCACATCTCTTCCCAACTCCACAGTCAGGGACATCGTGTTGATAACTTGAAATTGGAGGCAGGTGTTTGGGGCATTTACAATACAGTAATTGGCAAATGCTAGAAATCAGGTTTCTATCACTCGCCTCTCCCAAGTCCTCAACCCCTGGAGAGACAGTTTACCAGCAAACCCCCAGTTAAGAAGGACTGATTGCACATCTCTGTCCCCAGATCCATGTGATAAGTTCTTAACTGCACATAGTGATACACAGAGGGAACGACAGACTACACTCCCAGGTCTTACATTGCTGTAACTTCTCCAGCATAGGTCTCCTCTGTTCTACACAGAGTATTATTCTAATAGCAGATTTCTAGCCCTGTTGTGTTACCACCGCCAATCTGCCTCCTTTTTTGCTGAGGAAGACCGGCCCTGAGCTAATATCCATGCCCATCTTCCTCTACTTTATCTGTGGGACGCCTACCACAGCATGGCTCTTCACCAAGCGGTGCCCTGTCGGCACCTGGGATCCGAACCGGCAAACCCCAGGCTGCTGAGAAGCGGAACATGCAAAGTTAACCCCTGCGCCACAGGGCCAACCCCTATTGTTGCCTTCCTGAAAGAGGCAATTGAGCTCCCTTGGAGATACAACTTAGACACAACTTAGTGATATGACCGCCTAAGTCTAAGTGACAGTTATCAAAGGAGTAAGTACCACCCATGATCAGACAAGTTCCCGGAGAAAATACTTAGAAAAAAGCCAGCTGATATGATTTAGTGCCATTTCTTTACTCGTAAACATGGTTACTCATACCAATAAAGTAGAATGATAATAACTGCAGCACATCTTTGTTTAATGAAGTTATAAAATATTTCTGGATCCAGTTTAGGATGTATACCATAAGGTGGGAGAGTATTTTAAATATATTAGCCAAGCCACACGAAGAATTTGGATCAAAATCATTCTAACTTTTTAAAAAGTTAATTCCTAAGAAGATGAACTAAGCCAATTTCTATTTGCAAATACCAGTTGTCTTTAGGAAACTCAGAGAGTTTGTGTGAGAGAGTTCACCACTAGCTGGGGTAGCAGAAACTTTTAGGGGGACCATTCTGAACAAAGCTGCATGTCTCTCAAAGTTCTTTCTTCTTCTAAGTCCTTTACTCCATAGAAAAAAGACAAGAGGAAAGACCCAAGATTTGAGGAATGGAGACAGATTCTACTAAAGTTCTTCTCAGCCTTGCACCTTACATCCTACACCCACACATCCAATAGGCGCCAAATGGAGGAGAACTTGCCATGATTTTAGTACATGAGGCTAGAATTAGGAAACTCAGAAAGAAAAGTGTGTATGATTCTGAAATTCAGTGATTTAAAAGTGACTCGATACTGATTATATCTATTCTATTATCTATCATATTTCTGCAACAGGCATCAAAGCAGACAGGAAGTGAGGTTTCCAACTAATGTTCTTTCATGACATAAAATCATTGGACACAAACTCTGTCTTCTACATCACAACTTAGCACAGGGCTTTGCACATGGTGGGCCCTCAGTCCCTCTCAATAGCTTGTTCTTAGATGAATTGATGAAATAGAGCTAGGGCCACATTTGGGGTCTGTAATCAGCTTCTTAGTTCCTCTCTATAATACCCATTGTTTCATTCAACAAAACTATGTTGAGTATTTTCTATATTGTGGTATTCTACTAGGAGCTAAAAGTATGGAGGATTTCATATCCTTCTTGAGACAGATGAAGTTCAGATAATAAAGTCTAATAATGGAGATATTGAAGCACAGAGAGACCTCAAACCGCGTGCGTGCGTGTGTGTGTGTGTGTGTGTGTGTGTCTTGGTGCATGATCAAATGCTTTTTTTCTCACAAATGAGGTGTTCAGAATATTGATAATTAAGAGTAACAGCTTCACTTGTTCTGACTGAAAAAATGAATGCGGCTAAGGTTTCTGTTAATCAAATGGGGGATATTGTGAGGATGAAGTAGTGTAGCTTGAAGCCCTAAAAATAATCTGGTCTATTTTTCCTGATTTTAAGCTAAAAGACATCTGAGCTAGTCTTTCAACAGTTCAGCAATATTTCTATTTTCCTTTTATGTGCAATTCACATACTAGGTCCTGGGGATTTAAAGAAGAACGAAGAAAATCCAAGTTTCTTTCAAAGTCTTACTAAGCGAGAAATTCCAAATATTTGATACGCTATCAGCCTTTAAAGTTTGATATAATTTCATGTTACTTTTCAGGAATACATATGTTCTAATTTATGTCTACTTACAAAATTTTAGCCTGTATGAATCAATTGTTTTACAAATGATTTCAGTAGAATGTGGATTTACCTTTATAACAAGTAAACACAGAACAATGGAATAGATCCTTGTTTGTGTTTGGCTGTCAGACTTTTTAGCTACAGCCTTAGGTGTCTGCCTTGATAGATGGCAGAAGCTGGTTCTGAAAATTAAGACCATACCAGGGCTTCTGTGCAAAGGAATTTTGCAAAGCTTGCATACTGACCGAATCAACTACTGCCTTGCTGGATTTTTCAGGTCATGCTCAGCAAATCTTGCAAATACCGTTACAGTAAATCATGCCATGTCAACTCATGGAATTTGAACGTGACTTCTGATTTTGACATAGACTGTCTGCAGCCTGTTAGCTCCAGTGAGAATTGAATGTGACCCATCTGTGGGCAGTTGCTTTGTTGTTGTTTTTTTTAATATACATTTTATTCTAGGTCAGTCTTTTTAGAAATAGATATGACATCTGTCACTAAAGACAATGGGTGAGAGAATAGACCAGTGTCTGTATAAATACATCACCACCATTAGAAAACAATAAAACAAAACCAACAGCCTAAAGTGCGTGCACTACAGACAGTTGAAGCAGCAACAGCATCTCTTAATTCAAATGGTAGCATCTTGACCTGACATGTACCTGGGAAATGATCCTGCTCCTGACTTAAGAGGTTCCCCACCATACCCAGGCGCATTTGGTGCCGGTGCCTGCAGCCATATTGACCAGAGAGAGACATGACAGAGAACCTGCAGCAGCTCCTGCAGAGGGTGGGAGGTGGGGACTTGCAGAGATGTACCCTTTGCCCTTAACGGATCAGACTGAATGGGGATTTCTGTATTCCAAGATCAATGAGACTTGATGAAGTTGTGGCATGGCAAACATTAGGTCCAGTGTGGGAGCAGTGCATCTTTTCCTCTGAAACATAAAGCTCATCTCTAACCCTAAGTTTTTGGGCACTTTAGATAAGAAAAGAAAATGCACATTTCCAGATTGGGCACATTTTCCTCAGTAGAACTCCCAAAGGAAGGGAGCTAAACCTGCTGTCATGAAAGTGTTTTCCATGCCTTGGCTAAGCTGTGAGAAAAACCAGTTAGGAGATGTCATAAGTAAACAGAGGAATGATTAGAACTCACTTTAAAACACACAAGTCTTTTTATTTGGAAAACAAAGATAAGTGAAGCCTGTACACTAGAGACCTCATAGAAGAACTAAATCTGAATGTCAGACACTCAAGAAATAGGTTCAAAAAGCTTGCAATTTTCACTATAATTATGCTACATGAATGCAATTTTATGCCTGTCATTCTAGTACTTCAATTAAGGCTATTTTATTTTCAAGTTTTGAGATCTAGAATCCCCTGCTCACTGTGGGTCCTGGAAGCCACTTAAACCTCACTCCCTTGAGAGCAATATCACCTGGGCTGCTTACCATTCTTTGTTGCCTTGAACTTCTCTGATGTTTAGGCAGCCCACTCTGGCACTGAAAACAGGCGGAGCAAGCTACATCCTCATGTTTTCTTACGTTATTATTTTTGCCTGATTTCTTCTTCCCAGAAGGAATCTGTAAATTTTAACCAGAGAGATATGAGGAAAAGAAACTATTTTTCTCCCAAGATAACAATCGACGACCTTGGGCAATATGTGCAGAGTTTTTTGGAATCCTATTAAAAAATCATCTGATAAGCCACCTTTGGGTCTGTGTGTTGTTTTCTTTGTGTGGGGCAAGAAGTCAGACCTACTAAGCTTAGCAAGCTTAGCTGGGATGTTACTTAAACTTTAGGCAGTAAACAAAGATGTGCTCTGTAGTGCACAGATGGCTGGAATGATCAATTTTAGAGTTGAAAGTTGCATTATGAATCACCTTATTCTACCTATGTTCACTAAACATAGTGCAATGGTAGCCCCAGTGATACGGTACCTTAAGCAGTCCATCTGTTCCCTCTGTTAAAACCTTCTTGGTCCAGCATCTAAAAACCAGTCACTCTTTCAGTGAAAATTGAAAAAGAAATTTTGAGATAAGACGCAAATCAGGGCAACTGTGTGTACTCCTCGTAATACATTTTTTCCCTGGAAAAAAATGGTAATAAATACAAAATGACCTGTGAAATATTCCTCCATTAAAGTAAAATACAACTCTTTCATGGGGCTAAATGCAGACCCGGAACTGCTCACTACTCACTGGGATCGCGATACATGTAATGAAATGAGAGTGTAAATGGGTTACTAAAAATAAAAGTATTCCTTGGGAGAGTTTTGGATAAATGGACTGAATGTTCTTTCACTTCGGAAGCCTTTGCTCAGGAAGCCGATGAAGCCAAGTACTCAGAGCAAAACCATCTGCTAAAGGTCAAAGAGATGGGTGAGCTGCTGTGGGTCTCCTGCAGGATGCGGCCCTGCCGGAGGCACAGGCACCAGCCCATTCTCTCCTCTCCTTACCTGGAGGACTGCAGATACCTGAGATCACGCAGAACCAAACGATGTACTTTTCAAAATCAATACGGCTGAGCATGTCGTGAAATCTCTAGGATGGCAGAAAACACCACAAATGCCCACAGTACACCACACCACAGGAACAGTTTTTATTTTTGTAAAGCAATTATTAATTTATGTATAAATGATTACGGTATTTGAGATCCAAGATCCCTGGAAAAATCTGATGTTGCAATCAAAACATAATTGAGCTATTTTGGAATAGAAAGTCTATTTGCTCTTCAAAACATGTAAATATCTAAAAAACGGTGACCCATTTAGAACAGTATTGCTTCAGTGCAATTTTTTTAAGGGTTTACTTTAAGTGAACTTTCTTGCTCGATGGAAAGTTTCTATAGTCTGATACTGAGATTTCCCAACCTGGGGTGTGTGTGTGTTTTGGGAGGGTTGAGGGGAGAGGATGTGGTCAGCAGTGATGCAGTGGTGAATTAATTTCCTCAAGGGTTCTGATCCGACAGTCCATCTGGGCACCAATCACTATTTGCAACCTAAATAAATAATGTCTTGTACATGTAGGTACTATTATTTTTTCAAATGTGTATATGCGCCCTTGTGATATGAAAAACACTAATTCATTCTGAAGTGTTGTCAACTTCATTGTAGATTTTTATTATTACTGCTTTTCAATCCGTGGATTATAAATCAGCAGTTACCTATGGGCAACCTGGATATTTTAAATGTTATGAAAAAGTTCTCCTTCGTGGATTAGATGCACTGTGGTAATGTATTTTAAGAGTTCCGATAAAACAGTTATAATAGGGATTTACTAGAGATATATAATATAGTGGGGATATGATAGATATAATGGGATTTTCAATTATGAATGAGTACCATTATAAGAATCATTAAACCATTTGGTTATATTAAGTTTAAAGGTTTAGACCCAGCCTCAAAATAAGACACTTAGCAAACAATTAGCCATTACCTTTGGGGGTAGGAGTGGAATTGTGTGAGCAGCCAGTGCGAAGGCGTTTTTTTCTGTTCTTTATACCTTGATATTGCTTGAATTGTTTACAACAATCGTGAATTCAAATATCACTTTTATATTTTAAAAAATGATTAAAATAAAAATTACCACACAAAATGAGATCAACAGTCTCTTGGGAGCCTAGTGAGGTGCTGGCTCCTGGGTGCCTCTTGCACATCCATTCTCTTCCACCAGGCCTGAATTAGGAGGCTGAGAATTACTTCTCATTCCTCTTAACTCTGGAGGCTGCTCCCAACTCGACAATCCTATTCACTGTATGCTGTGCACTGGGCTGCACACTTCACAGGAAGTCTGAGCTCACCGGGAGGACTGCAGTGGAAACTGCCATATCAACACGTCTAGATGGGGGCTACGAGACTACAGGATATTCCCACCCAACTGGGTCTTGCGGTACAGCTGCCTATGGGTGCAGAGAAAAGGATGATTATTGCCTCCTGCCACCAAACGTGTTGGGACAACCTGGGGAGTATTTATTAAATCCCCCTCTGTCCTCCTGTAGGAGGAGATTACAGCTGACTGGGCCATGGGGTCTTCTTCCCTGGATAACTCTATGAGACTGGTTTTAGGGAACTGGTATGTGGCGTTAGGGATTCACAGGGATCATGTGATAGTTAATGTGTTTAGACTCAAAAAGCTGTAGCAAATTCATGCAACACTTAGTAATGCAGTAAGTTAACCTAAAATACTTTAAGTTCTGCCCAAAAAAAAATGCTGCCATGCTGAATTACCCCAGGTTAAGCATTGTCATGTTGTATTATGGCATGATATTCAGGTAGATCATTGTAATAAGCAAAAACATTTATATCCTTTAGGGATGTTTCATGGAAAGCAGATGCACTGTTATTTTTTTCTAAGACATTTAGTCCAATTTTAGTGATGCATATGTGAAGTGGATAAAACATCACAAACATAAGACTCTAGTTTTCTATTTTATACATAAACCAGAGCTTTAAATTTTAAGTATAGTCTGGGGAAGTGAATTATTTAAATCTAATGTTCACATTTTCTCTTCAGTCTCCCATGTCTACAATGATTTTCCTTATTCATTCAAAGGGAGGACAAACACAATGGGGTAAATTTCCTGATTGATGGGTTCTTTGATTTAGGACCAATATACACCAACTGGCTTTGTTTTCACTATTGTCCTTAAGGACCTAATCAGAGCCTCAGGCCCTGATGTTTGCAATAAAGTACTAAAGACTTTACACATATATAACGTGCATATATATATATATATTCCCCCCCCCCCCACAGTATGATTATGTAATCTAGCCAAGAGTGTGTATTGTCAAGTAGCCAGTGCATCAACTCATTATTCATATGTTTGGCTATTACACCTTTCTTCATGATGAATTTTTGTCACATAGAAACAACCCTCAGAGGATATATTCAGAAGTGGCTCTTTTGAAATTGTTTTTCAGGTATGGTTTCTAAATTCAGGTCCAGATGGTGTCTCCTTTCTGCAAATGCTTTCTCTAGACTCCACCTCTCAAAGCTAAGGGAGCAAAGGACGCTGCGGTCAGGGCATAAAAGCTGTGCATCTGAGCTCTTGGTGCTCTGCAAGGACTCACCAAGGACAGATCCCATTCAGACAATTGCCCATCCCCAGGCACAGACAGAAACGAGGAGCAATAGACTCCTTCTGCTTCCTCAGTGGAAACCTCTCTTTCATGGAGGTGAAAAGATGAGTTTAAACAGAGAGTGAGGCCAGGTTGTTTCCTGAGGGCTTTTCAATACTAAGGAGTAATTCCAAAGTCTCAAAGCTATGTGGTTAGGTAGACAAGCTGAGCTATGGATAATACTTTCAGTGTATTTACTGCTTTCATTTTAGGTTGAGACTTGTATTTGTCCATCTTTATGTTTTGTTTTGATTTTGCTCTGTTGAGAAAGAGGATTTAGGGGGAGGGCCGTGGATAGGATGGGGTGATAACGGCTTGTTGGGGAGGATGGTACAGGTGGCAGTTTTCCCTTCCTAAACATTTGATTTAATGGTATTAAGACTCCAGAGGTTGTTTGATCATGGGAATAAATAACCTTGAGTTTCTAAATTTTAGAAGGCATCACACAAGGATGCTCGACACTGACTGTTCTGGGAGCTACTTGTGTGTCCCATGTTTTTCCTCCTGTGCTTCCTGTCTCTCAATGATTTTATGTCTAAGAAATAAAAAGATAGGAGAAAATTTAATTGGACCGAAATAGAGCTACTAATGAAATACCGTCATTCACTCAGCATGAACTTTTTATATTCATTCAACAAATGCCTAATAGAATTTGCGTCAGGCACTATTCTAGCCACTTGGAAATACATCAGTGCACAAAACATAAAAAGCCCTGCTCTGGTGAAGCTTACGTTCTAGAGGAAGAAACTTTACGTCTACATACCTTGTGCATATACACAATGCATTAAGAGAACTTCCGTTGAAGTCAGACAGAAATTTTGTTAAACTAAAAACCTTTGTCTGTGGGTCTTGTACACATTTCAGATTTCATAAAGTAATTAGATTGCCCTTTAACATTTGCTTTAAACTTTCTCCCTCATTTCTTAATGAGTTTACAATATTTTCACAGCTTGACAAGAGCAGGCACTGGGCACAAGGAATAAAAAACCATGAAGAGCCTTTTAGAGTGTTCTAGAAAGGGTGACTTCACCAAACTTAAAATCAGCTTTAATGATTTGGTTTGAAACAATTGTTCAAACTCTCTCTTTACATTTGCTGAACAATCATTTGCAGCAAAAGTTAGTAAATTAGAGAACAACCTTTATTTTATTAATTACTGCTTAATGTCTAGAGCAATCCATCATGTTCATTTCTGTTTTACCCTGTTCTTAGAGAAAAAGATAGAATATCTGATTACAATTTCTTTATAAAACCCTTCATATGTTTTAAAATCAGAAAATTGTCATACCAAAATATCAATATTTTAATTGTTGAATTTACTTATACACCATCTCTTTCCAACAAAGATTTCAGGGGCATAAAGCAGAAGATATAATCATAAGGCAAATAAAAAAGAATGGAAAAATAGATCCAAGTTATAAAACAATTAGATGTTAGCCATAAGATTTATTGCTACTAACAGCTAGATGCCTTTCTTAGATTTCCATCTGAGCTTCCTGGTAGCCAGTGCAAAAATGAGAAACATGACAAATTAATTACATAATATTTTTAAAATATGAAAGGAATAAACATGTTAATTTCTCAGGAGAGATCAAGTTATTTTGACATTAACATCTAGAATAATTTTTACAAGGAGAGGGGAGATTAAATTATATAGTGGCATCAATCCAAATGTTGAAGCATATTTCATAGAACCAGTTATTAAATCAAGTCCACTAAAAGCTAAGGACAAATGTTGAAGAACAATTTGGTGAAGGCAGTTCCAGAAGCAACTGGATGATTATGACATGAACACATGGCCCAGGATATGAATACATGGATAGATCAATTGCCTTCCATTTTCCCTCAAATCACTCTTTATCTGGTATTAGAAAAATCTGCATCGCTGACAATTCAAGGTTAATTATGTGGAAAAAACCTTGGAGGGCTGGTTTTCTATAATGCTGTTTGATGGTGGATGGATGGTCTATAAGCTTTGGAATTTAAATTAATGGGTGGTAGGATTGTCAGTTTACTGTGAAAGACGAGAAAACAAACCAGCATTGATCTCTGCTTGTACAGGATGCGGGGGTACTCCATCCTAGCACAGAAATGAGCTAAAGGAATCAGGATTCTCTTCAGATACAGTGTTGGATTGATTCTAAGACTTGAATAAATATGTCAAATATTACTACAGAACAGAGAAAAAAATGATTTTATGGGGGGAGTTATTTTTAAGACAGATAGAAAATAACCAATTATTTTAGTTAATTCAGGCAAATAAAGGGGGAATGCTGCCAAAAAAAGTAATAATAACTCTAACCAGGACAAAAATAAAGCAACCCACATGCAAAAGAGAGTTGTTCAAAGGCTTTTTTTTCTAATTAAAATTTTCAAAAGAGAGCATTGTTCTCATAGGGCCCCAGAATACTCTTCCCCTTAAGTTTTTGTTCTAGATCAATGTAATATCAAATTGCTTCTTCCTTTCCATATAATTTTGTATCTCTTTTAACAGTCTTTCTTTTTGGTGAAGGAGATTGTCCTTGAGGTAACATCTGTGCCAGTCTTCCTCGATTTTGTATGTGGGATGCCGCCACAGCATGGCTTGATGAACGGTGTGTAGGTCTGTACCTGGCATCTGAACCTGTGAATCTGTGAACCTTGTGCTGCCAAAGCGGAGCACGTGAACTGAACCACTGCGCCACTGGGCCAGCCCCTTTTTTTGGTAATCTTTTAATTCTCTTAACCATGTATCTGCTACCTAGATTTTTGGGAAAATGGAAATTATGGTTTGCCAGCAGAATTTTAATCTAAGCAATCAAAAAGCAAAGGAAGGCTGAATTTGATAGTGGAAGCCTGCCCGTGTGGTACTCACTGAGACTGCCTAGTCACCAGGTTACCTCTCCTCCTTTACTCGGTTATTTGTTCTTGTTCAGAACCCATTGTTTGCAATCAGAAAGCAAGCAGTACTCCAGGCTCTGAAATTTATTTTACATCAGTCCACACATAATTTCAAAGTTGGAAAAAGGAAAGCCATTTTTTAAAAATCTTGATATTGGTAATTGGAGCTCTGTGTGGCTGTTTACCCATCGTCTTTCAGGGAGGCAGTGAGATTAAAGCAAGGTGAGAAAGAGTGTAGTCTTTGATCATTTGACTTTGTGGAATTGGGTGACCAGCATGAAAGTCAACAGTTTATCACATTAGTGCATTCCATCTTAAACTTTTTAAAAGGGGGAAATAAAAAGGATTTGTTCAACAAATAGCATGTTAGAAAAACAGTGACAATGAAGTTGACCTTTCTGTTACATCAAAAGGGCTTTACTAAGAGCCTTGTGGATAAATTTCAAGGCTGAGGAAAAAACCCGATATACAGCAAAGCTTTCTGGTTTCTCAGTCTGTTGGCTCATCTAGAGAAGAGTCAAAATCTTAAACTATCAATTAAATTGGGTGCCTGCTTAATGAGAGAATCTTCAACATATAGCTTCTTTATTAAATGCCCTGGTTAATGTTATGCAACATAAAACAAAAGAGCTGGCACTCCTATGGTTTTTTATGCAATGGTGAATCAGCAGAAAGAATTTTCTTCTTTTACTTTATGAACCAAGGCCACATGTTCCAGAGTGCGTGTTTCTTTATTAAAAACATCAAATTCAACCAGACTTATTTGAACAAGACATACATTCATTAGGCTCGCTTTTAGTTTATTCAGTGACAATAAAGCTGAAAAATAATTGAGTTGGACTAGTGTTAAACACAGGAGAACAAATTTATGTCTCAAGAAACATTAGACTATTTCTAAGCGGTTAGACGCAGACCTCCGGAATACAAGAAGGACTCAGAGGACTGGGCCTCAAGCAGCAAAAAGTGCTTAAGATGCCTGGGGATCCTCCTTCTTCCTACTAAACCATCTCGCAGTGGAGAATCTTTAAAATTCCTCCTTTTCAGAAAATTTCATTTGAAAAACCAGCTAGTTTTGAAGTAAAAAGTGAATCAGCTGAGAGTTAAAATCTCAGGTCTGATTTCTTCATCTGTCCCCTGTGGGGAGGGCGTGAAGGAACTGTGGTTAAAAGAGGAAGAGAGTTCAGGGAATTTATAGAGAGAGACAGTTTGTAGCCTGTGAAATCCTAACGTTTGAGAAAAGGTGAATGAATATCTATCATTCAGATGTTCGCGAAGTATTTTGGTTTGGATGCCATGCAGGTCAAACATCAGGTTGGTGGCTGAATTTTTCATTTCCAAAAATAAAAATAATGGAAGGTGTCTTCTTTACCCTGGCAGTCACCAAAACATGGATTGTCGGGTTATTTATATTTGGGAAATTTTACTTAGCACCTTACTTTTATAGTTTGTCTTTCCCCACCTACTTTGCTTTCACAACTAGACTGTGGAAGAAAGGAAGCCAAACCAATCACCTTCTTGGCAGTTGATAAAGTTAGCTCCTACCTGGTCCTCATTCTTTTCCGACTCTTCTTTAGTAACAGGGCTTTGTTCCCATCTGTACCCTTCCTGTACTCCACGAAAGGCTCCACGGTGGCCTTATTTCCTCTGTTAGTGATTGGGTCAGGCAGGGGCATTGACTCAATTCTAGCCTTGAGACTTGAGGGGAGATCTGCTGAAGGATTCTGGGAATGGCTTCCCTCACTCTGAAAAAGAGGCATTCAGGTCTACATCCTCCCTTTTATGCTGCCATATGATGTGTCCACATGTAATGCTTGCAACTGTGAGTGAGCACCCCATTGTCCTTGTGAGTGGTGGGGAGAGTGGAAAGATGGAAGGAAAGGAAACCTGGTTCTGATGGACATGATTGAATTAACCAATCCTGCATTTACCTGACTTCCACACTTGTGGTTCTCTGAGGTAATAAGTTCCCTTAAAGCACCTTAATTGATACATTTCTATTCCCCTGAACTTCACAGGTGGGTGGTCAGCTTCCATTTCTTCCCCTTCCTCATCCCCCAATCATATCTATCTATCTATCTATCTATCTATCTATCTATCTATCTATGTATCATCTATCTATCTACATCATTGTGTCCTCCTTTCTTGGTTTTATTTCTGAATGTCTTTCTTTTGGGCTCTTACAATAATTTCTAATTGACCTCCCTGTGTGCAGCCTTGGTCTCTGGATATATTCAGCAGACTGCAACCATCCTGACTTTTCTAGAAGGGAAATTAAGTCACATTATTCTTCCACGTCAATCATTAACAGTGTCTCACTGTAGGGAATAGTGACGAGAAGTCCAAACTATTTTCATGTTTACAAGGTGTGTTCTATAATCTGATTCTTGCTAAGTTCTGTACCCTGAAATGCTCTTTTTAAGACATTGTTCACCTGGCTTCTACTCAACCTTCAAGACTTAGCTAAAAAGGAAGAAGTCCCCTCTGAGCTATTGCTGACCCCTTCTGGTCAAACAATCGCCCTCTCTTTGTGCCATCTCAATATCTTGTAGGTCACTTTACCAATACTTATATCAGTATTCTTTGTATTTGTTTGTAAGTTTGTCTTCTATAAACCACAAACTTGAATCCAGGGGCCATGCCTTATTTGTTTCTAAATCTCTAATGCTCAGTCTAGTGATTTGCTCATACTAGGTGTTTAATAAGTATATTGTGATTGATTGTGAGGTCTACAATACAAAAGTGGGAAATCTTAACGCAAGAGTGCTTAAGTTTCAGTGTGAGACACGTATATAGTATTTATGCTCTCTCTATGTTGAGCTAAAAATGCCTATGTCATAATATGGGGGTGATCAATGCTACAATAACCAGGATCCTATCAAAGAGATTAGAATAAATTATTCTTTTTTAAATTTGCATTTGTTTGGAAAAATCATTCAGGTCCTATTGATAAATGGCCTTTCAGAGGTCATAAAATGCACTAAATAATGGTCAAAGTATGAATTGTTCAATAGTTCAATCCATAAAGAATTAGTTACTGCATGTCTGCTCTGTGTCAAATATTTTTCCTTTTTCATGTTTTTTTTCCTAGGAGCAGATTAAATGACCATCAATCTTTGCGAGTTCTTTTGAAAAATATATAAAATAAATACAAGATCCAATGATCCATAGTCAAAACAATGTACCTTCTATCCTTGTTTACAAGGAGAAAATACAATTTTGGTTAAGAGTGTACCATAATGTTCATAGAAATACGACAGCCTTGATCCGTGTTGCTTTAAGTGGAGATAATTTATGGCTTTCTCTGTAATTTACAAAATGGGTTCACTATGGGACCCTCTGGGTACGTGTGCTCTGCATTAGAGGCCTGATCAAATGATTATATTGACAGCAAAGTCAGTGAAGAAAGAAAATTCTACAGCAAAAATTCTTTCTTTTTTTTTGAGGAAAATTAGCCCTGAGCTAACTACTGCCAATCCTCCCCTTTTTGCTGAGGAAGACTGGCCCTGAGCTAACATCCATGCCCATCTTCTTCTACTTTATACGTGGGATGCCTACCACAGCATGGCTTTTGCCGAGCAGTGCCATGTCTGCACCCCGGATCCGAACCGGCGAACCCTGGGCCACCAAAAAGCAGAATGTGCCAACTTAAACCGCTGCGCCACCGGGCTGGCCCTACAGCAAAAATTCTTCATGTCCATCCCTCAGAGACTACCTGAGGAGATCCAGACAAGCAGAAGGCAATATATTGAAACCAGATTTTGGATTTACAAGACTTCTCTGAATTTGAGATCTGCCTAATTGTGACTAGCAAAAGCCACTCAGCCATTTAGAGCCCAGTTTCCTTGCACATCTAAAAATGATGATAAAATCACCTATATCAGGAATTTTTTTCAGTGACATAAAGAATGAGAAAATGACTTGTTTGACACACCCAGGCAGGATGGCCTACTGGTTAAAACGTCCCCAGAGCAAGCTTGCCTGGGTATGAATCCTACCACTCAGTAGTTGTGTGCTGTTGGTTGAGTTGCTTACCTTTTCTGTGCTTTTGTTTCCCAATTTGTAAGTGGGGTGATAATAATGCCTATAATATAAGGTTATAATGAGGATTAAATGTGCTAATGTTTGCAAAACACTTAGAACACTGCCTGGCACATAGGAAGTGCTATGTAAGTGTTTGGTGGATAAAGAGCAATTTGTATTCATCTCCTGACACAGTTCCGGAAAATAAAAATCTAAAGTGGAGATCTTTGCATTTATGCAACGGCTACATAAAAGGGCAACTAGAAGAAAATAATGTAATAATGTAACTAGGAGAAAAGGGAGGCATCTTGTTTAAGAACTTAATTAGGTCAATACAAATGGTAATTTCAAAGCCTTGGCTGGGTATTTCTGTAGTCAAGGGAACAGCCATTAAAAGGTAGAAAAATCGCTATTTTTAGCAATTTCTGATAGAACAAGGGTTGGCACGATTAGACAGGAAAAGGAGGAACAGAGGGTTGGTGGGAGGAGCTAGCCAGGCTTTGCACAGGAACGTGGGCACCGACCCCATTTTGGGCAGGAGGGTGAGAGAGATGGAGTCTTTCAGCAAAGAAAGCTTTCATTCCTCTGTATCAGTTTCAAAGCCCTGCCTCTGAGTTTGCACTTGGG